TGAAACAAAAGAGAACAGAAAAGAAAAGAATTTCAAAGCAGTAATACAAACTTTCAGTCTTTAAATCCATTTGTGATAGTGTGCCCAATCAGAAGAGATGAATTGTTGTTGAGAAAAGTAGTCAAGGACCGGGTACCATTTATCTGTGAAGATTGTTAGAGTTGGCTTTTGAAATAAGAAATTTATTTTATTTGTGACTGCATCCATTAAATAATGGCTCCATAATTTCTTAAACCACACCTCAATACTAGGGGCTTTATTAGCTTTCCAGTACGATGCAAACATGACTTCCACCGTAGCTTTATGTGGTCTAGTTCGTAGATCTTTAGGCCAAACATTTAAAAACAAGATTTCTGGAGATAGCGGAACATGAATTGAGGTGATCTTTTGGATAATATTCAACACCTCTGTCCAAAATTTTTTTATTTCTGGGCACTGCCACCAGCAATGTGCAAAGTCTCCAATGTGCTGCCATTCCTTCCAACACATTGGGGAATGATTTGTAGAAACATATGAAAGCTTTCGCGGTATAGCATACCACCGAGTCATTATCTTCAAGTTTTGAAGCCTAACAGATATCACCTTGGTTTTGAAACTGGTAGAGTTCCAAATTTCCCCCCATATTTCATCCGTGAGTGTTTTTGTGGTATCTTTTTGCCAAGCTTTTTGATATGGTAGGGATTTGGAACACGAGCCTTTAATCAGCATGGTATACAATTTTGAGATAAGTCCCTTGTTTTGTGAATCGTAATCTCGTATTCGTAATTCTAAATCAGTGTGAGGTTTAGTCATTACGCTCGTTATATCCATTTGATTAAGCAAATGACTCAGCTGTAGATAAAAGAACCATGGTATAGTAGAACCTAGTTTCCGTTCAAGCTCCAATTTAGTACGAATACCCTTTTTGTTGGCTATATCTATGAACCGAGATAAGTATAGTATAGCTGGCCTGGTGTAATGTATTCAGAAGCTGCCATGAATACGTTAAGATGTAATGTGAAACATCTCATAGGGAAGCAATGTTAAGCTTCGTCTTGAACAGGGATTGAAGTCCAAGACTAATGCGACCAATCAGGTTCAAATGTATATAAGCGGGAAAGACTCTGATTGGTCCCTTATGCGCTCAACCTGATAGGTTGATAACTGTATAGTAGGAGTGGCTACATTAGCCCGGAATGTTTAAATACCGAGCAGCTGCAATGGAATAGCTGTTCGGGCTATCAGAAGAGTTGTACCGTGTTAGAGAAGTGATCGTCGAGCTGAATAAACCAGAGTTTTGCTGAAATCACTCTCTGACTATTTTGTTAAGCATCGGACTTAACACCTGGGATCATATTAAATCCCAGGAGAAGAAGTCAAAAGACAAACAGATTTTCCTCTAAACAAGAGAGATCGCACAGCAGCTGTGGAGATTGTCTTCCTGTTCTGGAGACTGGTCCAATCAATATTCAGCCTCTTAAAATGAAATGAGAATAAGCTACACTTGAAGCTTTCTTAGTTCTGGAAGTTATTTATTTAGGATATATATTTAGGATACTGCCTCTTTAGAGTCCTGTTCAAGGTGGTTTAATAGCAGTAATAAGATTCTGCCCATTTTAGACATTTTGGAGAAACATGATTAACCTTCAAAGTCTTTATGGCACTGAGGTTTGGGGGTTAAAAGGAGGTACCAGTTTGGACATCAGAAACAAGATCCCCCCAGACCACGCCCAGAACCCTTCCCCTTTAGAGACCCTCCACCAGTTTCCAGAGAAAGGAGCTTAGGGTCAAAGCTGTCCCTTCAACTGCTCATTTATACTTCTTTCGATACAGAAAGGCAGATTGTTTAAAACTTGCTTCGGGGAGCAGAAGTCTCCGTTTTTCATCTTGACAGTTAGCTTGGTACTGGAATTTCATCTAAGTGATGCAATCGCACGACTTCTCCCCAGACTGTTTTGTATCCTCCAGCATGGGCTGGGCAGATCAGAACGTCGGCCGCGGTTTCATGGTATTTCCACTCTGCATAATATGCCCTCGGTGAATAGTAATGCGATATCGCTGTGGTTTGCTATGCTCAGATATCAGAATGGTTTTAGGAGAAGACCCTCTTGCTCAGATTCGCCTCTTTTCCGTTCTTTCACCACTCAGGTTGAACGCTGGAGGTGAGGCCATGCTCTTCAAGAACGAAACTTTCCCTGACGTGCTAATTGTTATTTAGGTTGGGGGAAAGCAGGCCAAAAGCAGCAGGGAGGTCCACATGTATACTATCAGAAGGAACCCATGTGCTCCATCACTAGGAGCACGGAAGGAAACAGTTCAAAGGAACACCAGCAGATAAATGAAATCTAGCGCAGCAACCATTTTCAAACACCCACAGTTCAGTAAGGCAGCCTCCACACAGAGACAATTCTTGTGTAGCTGAAGAAGAAGAAAGAAGAGGAGGAGGAGGAGTCTGGATTTATACCCCGCCCTTCACTCGGCGTCTCAGAGCGGCTTACAATCTCCTTTCCCTCCCCCTCCCCACAACAGACGCCCTGTGAGGTAGGCGGGGCTGAGAGAGCTCCAAAAGGGACTGCTCTTGAAAGAGCAGCTCTGAGAGAACTTGTGACTGACACAGGGTCACACCAGCAGCTGCATGTAGAGGAGTGGGAAATCAAACCCAGTTCTCCCAGGTTAGAGTATGCCCTCCTAACCACTACACCAAACTGAATGAAGACGCATTCACAGTGACAATGGGGTGTCCTCTCAGCAGTTTTCCCTCTACTTTCCTTGCCCCAGCCTCCCAGAGCCACTATTTCCCCACCCCTCCACCAGGGGATTTTTTTTTTTTTTTAAATGGGAATTATTACATCATCGCCACGTTATAACATTATAAGAATGTATTGCCACAGTCCTTTTATGTTTTTTTTAAAAGTAAGTCTCTATTCCTTTGTCTTGTGGAGTTATAAGGGGCTATGTGTGGACTGCACCTTTCCCCTTATGACTCTGCAACGAAAAGGTTTAGAGGCTTACTTAAAAAAAAGGAAAGCTGAGAATGAATAGATCATTGCAATAGATTGTTACAATGTTATAGTGATGTGTCAGTTATTATTTTTTAAATCTCCAAAATAGCCCTCCAATGTGCATGTGTGTGGGGAGGAGAGGATGGTAACTACAGAAAGGGGGTGTGAGGCAAGAAAAATGGTGCCCATATGGGCAGGACCTGCAAAAATGCATCACTTCTCATTCAAATGGCATCCAAATAATATACCAGGATCAGGGCTCGTTTTGTAGAAAAGGCCCAGCAGGAACTCATTAGCATAATAGGCCACACCCGATGGCAGGAACTCATTAGCATATTAGGCCACACCCGATGGCAGCACCGCTCATTAGCATATTAGGCCACACCCCCATGTTACCAGAAGTGTGGTCATCCAGCCACACCCACCTTTTGCTTCTTATTCTGTTTATCTTGTTTGTGGTCAAAACCCAGGGCCTTTTTTTGTAGCAGGAACTCCTTTGCATGTTAGGCCACACACCCCTAATGTAGCCAATCCTAATGAGTTCCTGCTGTTGGGTGTGGCCTATTATGCTAATGAGTTCCTGCTGGGTGTGGCCAATTTAAGAGCCAGCCGGAACTCCGTTCCTGTGCGTTCCTGCCCCAAAATAGCCCTGTGTAACCAGGTCAGTTTTGGGAAAGACTGAAGCAAAATAGGGGAAAGCACTGTTTGGCAGAGTTGAAATATGCAAGGAAGTGGAGCGCTGACTGTTTAGAGAAAAAATAAGCAGGTCTATTTAAAGGAGAACAAACTGTTATAAAACATAGAAGAGAGAGAACCTTAACTGTCTAGCTAACTGCTGTGAGAGGAATAGGGTTACCACACCCCATGGAAGTGAGGTGGACCCGTTGGTGACGTCGGGAGGGTGACGCTCTGGTTTTTGGCCAAAACTTTACAGTATGGGGGGTAATTTTACCATAGAGTTTTGCTCAAAAACCAGAGCATTGCCCCTGACATACCCACATCACTTCCGGGTGATGCACGACATCACTTCTGGTCAGGGGTCATTTCGTAAAAAAAGAGGTGCAGGAGCTCATTAGCATAACTCATTAGCATAACTCATTAGCATAACTTATTTGCATACGCCACACCCCCTGACTTCACCGGAAGTGTGTCGGAAGGCAACGCCCACCGCTCAGGCTCCACTGGACTGTTTTGGATTGCTAGCTATTGGGGGTGGGGGGGAACGGGACGCGCAGATCTGTCCTCGCAGAGGAGGGAGAGCTTCTACCTGAACAAAACTTGGTCTTAAAGGTGCCACTGGACTGTTTTGGATTGCTAGCTATGGGGGGGGGGGATGTGCAGATCTGCTCTCACAGAGGAGGGAGAGCTTGTACCTGAACAAAACTTGGTCTTAAAGGTGCCACTGGACTGTTTTGGATTGCTAGCTATGGGGGGGGGGATGTGCAGATCTGCTCTCACAGAGGAGGGAGAGCTTGTACCTGAATAAAACTCGGTCTTAAAGGTGCCCCTGGACTGTTTTGGACCGGGGGGATGGGGGGGGCTCTGCAACTTACCTGGCTGCTTCTTGCTCTGACTGAGGGCTGCTGGGAGCAGGGGGTGGGGCTTGTTGCATGTGCCCGCCCCCCTGGGCTCCTTACTGCCGGAGCTCCGCTCCCGTGCGCTCCTGCAGGAAACGACCCCTGCTTCTGGCGATGTCAGCACATCAGGGGCAACACCCCAATCCCCCCACCAGCATCTCAAAGAGACCCGGCAACCCTCGGGAGGAACAAGGGGGAACAGGAAGCTCTGCAGAAGAGCCAGTCAGGAGGCAGCAAGGACACAATTTGAAATTGTGGGCAGCCCCTAATCTAGGTGTGCTAACGACCAGCCCTCCTGCTGTCCCCCCTGGCGGCCTTCAGATCTTCTTCGTAAGGCTGCACGATAAGACTCTGCATATCCCAACAAGCCCCTGAGGAGGACCCACAGGAGAGGGTGACGTGTGGATGCCTCCCAAAACGACCCTGCCGTCAGGGTGCTTACCTCGCTCAGCTTGCAGCATTCGTCCATGTACTCATCCAAGCTGTCACTCGTGGGATATCTTCTTAGGGGGTGACCTTCTAGAGGCGTCTCCGGAAGGCTGTCCAAGCTGTCTTTGCTACGGTCGCCAGGAGGCCTTTTCTCCCCCAACGTAGTGACGGAGAGCGGGGATGTGTTGGCCCCTTCTCTGGGCTCGTCCCCCAAACATTCGCCATCGAAAGGCTGCTCAGGATTTCTCCCCTCTGAGCCATCCGTGGCGTCCTCTACGGAAAATCCCGGTGGGCAGCCACATCGGTCTGCGGCAGCAGGACAAAGCTTCTCCGAGGAAGTCGATTTCGCGCCCCCTGGCCCTTCACAGAGTTCCTCTGGGTTCTTGCTGTCCAGAATGCAGAAGCAGGCATCTACGGCGTCTGCGCATGTTCTCATGACCATGTGGCCGGCCGCTGGAGAGGAAGAGGCACTCAGCACGCCTGAGTCACAGGAAGAGTCTCTACTGTGGAGCACAAAACTCTTTACGGAGCTGGTGGGCGTCGACAGGGAGTTGGGCCCGCTCGGCAACTCCACGCCGGAATCCTCCGATTCAAACTTGGCTAGCCTCGGGAGATGGCACTTGGGTTCTGTGGGGTTGAGAGCAGGGAAGGTGGCTCCGGGCACTGTTCCCACTGGAGTGTCCCTTACGATGGCCACGTCGGCCGGACGCCCTACCGGGAGGCTCGCTTTGGGAGATCCGGGGTCCTCTAAAGAGTTTGTGGTGGGAGAAGGGGCTTGAACGTGAGCCATTTCACTGGACAGGATCTTCAGGTTTGTTAGAACTACCTTGCCATCCGGCGGCGGGGTTTTCTTGACAGCTGCAAGGAATAGAGGGGGAAAAGAGGATGACTACAGAGAATTGCTGTTCCGTCTGACGCTGAGTCAACAGTGCCTTCTGGACAGATTCAACGCATGGCCAAAGTAGAATTAAATCATTTTTATTAAGTTCCACATGCATTCAGAAGAGCTCTTACATCTTTTGTAATCTAATTCAGTTCACTGACTGTTAATCAGCCAGTCAGGGATGCATTGGGATGCCTAACTAAAGACTACAATTCCCAGGGGTAAACTGCTCTTAAAGATATATGGCAGTTCGCAGCACAATTGCAATGTTTGATTTCTTGCATAGTTGGCAGCATCGCATAGCAGTGCTGCAGGCTCGGCTCCAGGCTCTCTTACGATAGCGCCGTTTGTGGCTCGCTCTACCTTTTGTGGTGACTCATCTGTATGAAGCCCCGCTCAGCACCCCACCTAAGCTGGATTCCTGCAGGCTGGCTATAAATCCTCAGAAGGCCAGGATATTTCCTTGGCACGTACTTAGAAAAAAACAGGCCTGACTAATGCATGAAAACCTCCTCTGGGGTGTTTATCGCTTCAGGATGCTGGGGGCGGGGGGGGGGGAACCACGAATGTTCCCCCGTGTCCAGAAACTCACACATCGGGGATCGGGTTGGACTGGGAGTTCTCCCATAACTGCAACTTATCTCTAGGCAACAGAGATCAGTTTCCCTGGAGGTAAAGGCTGCTTTGGAGGGTGGACTCTGTAGCTTTCTGTCCCAGTGAGATCCCTCTCCTCCCCAAACCCTGCCAACCCCCAGGCTGCACCTACAAATCTCCATGAATCTCCCAGCCTAGGGCTGCAAAGACTATTGGGCGAGAAGGGCTCTAACCCTTGGCTATAACCGTGAGATGTTTCTTATTGGGGGGCTGAGAATGTAGCGGGAATTCTGAGAAGGAGACCACTAGGAGTCAACAGCAATGCTCCCTCTAAGCTGTGGAGTCTTTTGAGCAGAAATTCTACTTTGTGAGCTACTGGCATTAAAGTTGTGAGCGAGCGATTTGGCTACTGCATCAATTAGTTTGCTCCAGAGCCGGAGGCTAAAAAACTGTGAGCTAGCTCACACTCACTCAGCTTAGAGGGAACACTGCTTGTGAGCAAACATTCTACTTTGTGAGCTGCTGGCATTCAAGTTGTGAGCAGGCGATTTGGCCACTGCATAAATCACTTTGCTCTGGAGCCCTCCTTCCTGAGCTAAGACAAGAATGTGTGAGCCGGAACGGTGAGCTAGCTCACACTAACTCAGCATAGAGGGAACACTGCCTGTGAGCAATGCTCCCTGTAAGCTGTGCAGTCTTGTGAGCAAACATTCTACTTTGTGAGCTACTGGCATTAAAGTTGTGAGCCATCGTTTGGGCCCCTGCAAAAACTAGTTGGCTCTGGAGCCCTCCTTCCTGAGCTGAGACAAAACTGTGTGAGCCGGAGGCTAAAAACCTGTGAGCTAGCTCACACTAACTCAGCTTAGAGGGAACACAGGTCAACAGTTATTTATTATGCGCACAGGTACAGCTAAAACTACCTCCGGGGGCACTTTCAAAACAGAGCTGTACCCAGAGTACAGCTTTGAGCAGACTTAACAGCTTTGAGCAGACTTACCCCCAAGAGCACTTCGGTCGGGGACCCAGAACCGTTTAGTGGTTCCGGATTCCCGAGAGGCACGTTATGCTGCGACAAGGGCTAGATCCTTCTCAGTGGCGGCCCCTGCTTGGTGGAATGAGCTCCCGGAGGAGATCAGGGCCCTGCGGGATCTAATGCAATTCCGCAGGGCCTGTAAGACGGAGCTCTTCCACCAGGCCTTTATGTAGGGGCCGCCGCTCCCACCACCACCAACGGTGGAAATACCATCTCAGTCGGATCGCCCTTGATAGCCCGGCGGCAGGGTGAACCTCATGGCGGCAAGACCAGCCGATTAGCACGGACTAATACTGCCAGTATGATACAACTAATGCTGGCAGGGGTTATTTCTTGTAGGAGCCAACTGCAGAGTCAACTACAGACCACCTGGAACTTAAACTTAAAGCACTTTATTATTATAAATGGTATATTACTGACTGTATTTTGTGATTTTATTGAATTTTAATGTATTTTATGTTGGGCTTGTGCCCCTGTAAGCCGCCCTGAGCCCGCTTGCGGGGTAGGGCGGGGTAGAAATACCTTAATAAATAAAATAAATATAAATAAATTAAATAATTTTTCTACAGAGTGAAAAAAAAATCATTTCCCTGGTTATTTCTTTAAGCAGTAGCATGCAAGATTATCACAGACATTGACCATGAAGCAATAACAACACGCAAGGTCAGCAGGTGAATGCTTCAAGAACAGTTTCATCAAAACGGTCATGCCGGAGATCATGGAGATGCCCGGGAAGCAGATCTCAAGGCTTCTTTTGCCAATATCGACTTGCTTCCTTGTTTTCCAAGCCAAAGCATTTCTTTTGGAGCCGGGTAAGGTTCCACTACTGCGTCCATCAGCTCTGCTGTAAGGCTCTTGGGAGAGGAGATCCTGGCTCAGGGATCAAACGGAAGTGTGGACTGGTGGAGCGCCCGGCCTGCGCTGTTTGTGAAGTCTACCTGCTTAATAAAATTCAGTTTCTGCTCTCCATTACCGGCTGTTAATCAAGGGTCCCTGATGGTCCAGCTAATGTAACACAGCTCTTTCCCCCTGCATGCATTTCACGCCAGGAAATAATGATTTTGTCCAACTGCTTTCTTCTGTTGCTCAGACTGAAAAAGAGGAACATTTCAAGTGGTGTAATCCATTCAGAGTTAAGCATGTTCAAGTCCTCTCGATTTCAGCAGAAGAAAGACCATCTACTTACAACTCTCCTTCTGACATCTACACACTAAAAAAATCCACTTTCAATCCACTTTAGTGCACTTTCCAACTGGATTTTTATTGTGTGAATTGGCAAAGTGGATTGAAAGTGGATCATTTAGTGTGTGTGACCACAGCCTAGGTGCGCTTAATGTTGAGGCCTTCTTCTAAGCTAAAAAGCACCTCCAAGGCAGATAAATCTTTACATTTCCTCAAGGGAGGATCATAAATTCAGGTGGGGTAGCTGTGTTGGTTTGAAGCCGCAGAACAAAGTTTGAGTCCAGTGGCACCTTTAAGGCCAACAAAATTTTATTCTGTCTGTAAACTTTTGTGTGCTTATGCCTAGATAAAACGTTGCTGGCCTTAAAGGTGCCACTGGACTCAAACTTTGTTCAAGGGACGATCAGTTTACCAAAAGGAGGAATGGACACACCCTAGTTGTTGGTCAAAGAAAACAGACATGTTAACCAAAGAAATTTAGGGGGAAATCCTCAGCAGATCTGCTCGTAAGTCCCATTTTATTCAGTGGGGCTTACAGCCTCAGCAAATCTCTTTGGTTTTATCTCATATGTATCAGATACACCAAATGCAAAGCAGATTTTAACCAGTGAATTCACATGAGGTGTTTTCAGTTGTGAGTCAAATCTGCATAAGCCTTAGATTTATAAGGATCCCGGTACAATTTGTATTAAAAATGTCATGGCCCTATTTACACAAAGATTAGGTAAAGGTAAAGGTTTCCCTTGCTCGAAAGCCAGTCGAATCCGACTCTAAGGGGCAGTTGCTCATCTCTATTTCCAAGCCGAAGAGCCAGCGCTGTCTGAAGACAATTTCCGTGGTCATGTGGCCGGCATGACCAAATGCCGAGGCGCACGGAACGCCGTTACCTTCCCACCGAAGTGGTACCTATTTATCTACTTGCAATTTCTTGCTTTTGAACTGCTAGGTTGGCAGGAGCTGGGGCCAGAGACAGGAGCTCACTCCGTCATGCAGCACTCGGGCCTTGAACTGCCAAACTACCGACTTTCCGGCCTGCAGTTCAGCGTCTTAACCTCTGAGCCATCACGACCCCTATACACAAACATAACCATATTTATTAGAGGCAAATTAACACAATTTTCTTGAGGTTTTACAATTTTAAAACGTCTAAGCCAAAGAAAGGTCCTTTAGTACTGAATCCAGTAGACCTGTTTCTCGAATCACTCTGACAGTTAAATTAGCCAGAAATAAATAAGTAAATATGTACAAAATAATCAAACATTTTACATATGTACAAAATAATTAAACAAAAAGAACAGATTTAGAGTCCAGTGGGGCACCTTTAAGACCAACAAAGGTTTATTCAAGGTATGAGCTTTCGTGTGCATGCACAAATATTTGAAAAAGTGTGCTTTGCACACAGAAGCTCAGACCTTGAATTAAACTTTGTTAAATTCAGGTGGGATTTGGGATTGAGTCTGGGGAGAACAGGGACCTCAGCTGGGTACAATACCATCCAGACCACCCTTCAAAGCATCCAGTTTGGTGTAGTGGTTAAGAGTGTGGAGTCTAATCTGGGAGAACCCGGTTTGATTCCCCACTTCTCCTCCACATGCGGCCAGCTGGGTGACCTTGGGTCAATCACAAGTTTTCTCAGAG